AGTAGTATGGTGGTGGTGGGCTAGGGGATGGTGGAGGTGGTGACTTGTAGTAATATGGTGGCGGTGGGCTAGGGGACGGTGGAGGTGGTGACTTGTAGTAGTATGGAGGTGGTGGACTAGGTGAAGGAGGTGGTGGTGACTTGTAATAGTAAGGAGGTGGTGGTGATGGAGATGGTGGGGGTGGAGACTTGTAATGGTATGGTGGTGGAGGACTGGGAGATGGCGGAGGTGGTGACTTGTAATGGTACGGAGGTGGGGGAGATGGTGAAGGAGGTGGAGGTGACTTGTAATAATAAGGTGGTGGTGGTGGTGATGGTGATGGTGGAGGTGGAGACTTATAATAGTAGGGAGGTGGAGGTGATGGTGAAGGAGGTGGAGGGGATTTATAGTAATAAGGTGGTGGTGGTGGAGATTTATAATAGTAGGTCGGAGGTGGGGGAGACTTATGAGGATATGGTTTGTCCTCTCGGTGCTCTGGTGGAGGTGGAGAAGAATATACATCAGGTTCATCGGCAACCACGCTAGTTGCTACAAGGCAAAATGCCATAGCAAAGATGAGTCGAGGCCAGTGCCCCGGTGGATGTACTGAGGTTCCCATTCCCTTGCAATTCAATTGTAACTGCTAGGGAAATGTCAGCTAGAAACTCTATTAATTCTTGAGGCTTATTACATGGTGAAGAGACAGCCCCATATATACTCATCTCCCCAATCATTGATGGTATATTTTATTGGTTTAATATATATATATATAAGACTACAGGCTGGATTAAAATGTTATTTTAACAATGTCTAACATTTGACCTTAATATAAAACGCCAATTTGCCTTTGCTCGTGGTTGTTTCCCTCAACCTGTCACCGCCTTTTAGACCAATTCCATGATGAAAAGACTAAGTCCAGAGAGCATAAACAAAACACCAACGCGTTCCAGCAAGATACAGGTATAATGCCTTCTTCAGCAGTTGAATTTAGCAGCAACGCGCAACTGAATTTAGTCCCAAAATTTGATAAACTAGAGTTACACAACATGCTTGCAGGCTGCAGCCAGATTAAGAGTGTTATCACCATCAGAAACTTGGAACGCGTTCTTCAACTAAAATTTATTATTTTGATGATAGCAATTCGACCCTGTCCTGGAAGGAATTTGTCACGTTTGAACTACCTTGGACTTGGTAACTTTAATGCTTGGAGACAGAAGGTGCCTCGGTAATGTTCAGACTATCTTCAAGGAAAATTTATAGGTCAACCAAATACATAAGACACACACTAGCTCTAACACTTTGAAGTATTCTTAAATGATTTTAAAATGTCTTCCAATTTTGACCAAGATTTATCTTTTTCCACAATCTTTGTAATTATTAATGGTGAATTACTGAGTGGCCGTGGATCTCTACGCTACTAACTATTTGTCGCGTGTTGTTGAAAAAATTTAAACTCTAAAACGTTGAGACTTAATTGATTGTCTAAATTCGGTAAGCACGATTAACTAATTCGAATATATTGTGCATCAAATATTGTATCTAGACATTCCTAAGTCTAGATTCTTTAAATATTATAGAGTTATTATTTCTCATGTTATTTATGTACTTATAATAAATCACTAAACTATGTTTTAAGTCTATGGCGATAAGCAGCACTAAATGATTTTTTTTTTAACAAAAAATGGGTGAATTACTGATCCTTTATTTCAATTTTATAGGTGATTGAATTCCTATTTTGTTTAATAGCTACTTGTAAATTGTTCTAAAATATATTCTTTGCTCGAATTCAAAGTCAATGATATTGCTTTTAAGTCATATTTTAATGGAATTAACCAGTTTTTATTTAATTTTGTTGTTGGTATAGAAGTATTGGTGGGGAAAGCTTGAGAAACATTACAGCCATGCATGGATTTAATTGCAAATATAATAAAATCATGTGAATCCTTTTGGGGCATAGCACAAAAAAAAAAAGAAAAAAAGAAAGACTAAATTTATGTTTCGTGCAAATTTTATTGGTGAAAGGTCCGATACATGTGATAGCTTAATTCATGTTGGCCTAATTAATTGCATATATATATATATATATATGATAATGATAAAATGGTCGATTAGGAAAATTTTTAATCATGTGATAGGCACAAATTTTTATTCTCTTATACTATATATATATATATGTATTATACAACTTAAATTAAGTAGCCAATGGATCCAAATGATGTATAATTATTTGTTGAATTAAGTTTGATTAAGAAAATTCATTAGAAAAATTTTGTTGTATTTTAGATTATATCTACTGGTTGATCTATTTTTAAAATTTTAACTTTTTTATTAATAATTCTTTCCTTTTTTTTGTGTGTTTCTTGGAATATTAGGTACACCGTACACCATCATGTGAACAAAATGTGAATAGCAACCGGCATTTTATTTTGGGATTCCTTGCTCTTTTTGTACATAAAATTCTTTGCACTAACCCACAAATTAATCCCATCTTATGTAGGAATCAAATTTTGCAAGAATCGACCTCATGTTTTTCATTTATCTCTTTTTTTAAAAGGTGATTATATTTGTCTTAAAGATTCATATACTATTTCAAATCTGTTACTTTTTACAATAAATTTTTTATGACACATTATCATGATTCGCGCATTAGAAAGTAATACTCCTCCGAAAGGACTGCACAAAAAATCATTGGGGGTGAAGAACATGATTCCACTAATCCTAATCAAATTAAACAAGGAAAACTAAAACTTTGCTTGCTCATGAGAAAAAGAAAGAACTAAGCAGAAAACCGGATCCTAATCAAAATGTTTTTTATATACTGTTAAGCTGGAGAGAAAATTACCCAAAAATTTAAGTCCATAATAAATTATCATACTATTAAAATTAAGTTTTAGGATTTGAATTTGAGATATCTTTCTTGATATTACTAGTGTTTACCCCGAGGTATTGTGTTATAACTTTTTTAATTCCTAACGTTGATTTTTTTTTTAAAGCATATTAATCTATTTTAAAATAAAAAGCATAGTATACATGAACGTAGCATGAACATGACCTCCTTTCTTCTTTCCAAAAATCGAAATACCTCTCCTATTTACTTCATTTTCTTTTTTTAATTTCCTTTTCTTTCTTTGTGATTTTTAGATGAATTTTTGTTCAAATTTTGTTTCATTTCTTTGGGAGTTTTTAGTTTTTTTTTTTGGTGATTTTATAGATTTATAGATTTTTGTTTTCGATGATTTTGTAGTTTCAGTCATGTAGTTGTAGTTTAAAAATATTGGTTAGGCTTAAGATTTCAAAGGCTGACCTAATGGTTGTTGTGTAGATTTTCTAAGGAATTTCTTTGATTTTGTTGTTAATCTTTTCGTAAAATTTTTCTGTTGCTCATTAGAATTTTTATAGCCACCACCAACCGCCGCTCACCTTGAAAGAAAACCAAATACTACGCCACATGTCTATTAAATAAGGAGTCAGGTTTCGGCATGGGAGGACCTCTATGTTACAGTGTACTACAATACCCTATCAAGGGACAATTTTAATATAATGTATAGACGATTGATTATCCCCAAAACTTAAATTAATAAAGAATAACGAAACTCTAAGTTATCCCATGTAGGACATCCTAGTAAAATAACAGCTTGAGAGGTTGGGCTTGCACCTAGCTCCACCTATACGTTACATCCCCAAAAAACACCTGCAACATTAACGTTTAAGTTTATTTGGGGATAACTTTGATTGTTTGTATTCATTGGAAGATGTTATAAAATTATACAATATAAATGTTTAGGACACTGTTAAACTTTGGTTGTAATATAAGTATTGAATGACTGCCAAATTGATCCTATTTTTTAGGTCCTTTCTTATAATTAAATGGAGAGTCTCGTTAATGGCTAATCTTTATTTCCTTTGCAGGTTGTATTTGTCTAAAGAAAAGCTCATCCTAATATAATCTATATTCGATTTTTACAGCTGTTTTATCATTATATTTTTGGTCAATTATCATTATTCTTTTAATTAGGACCTCACAGTTTCCTCTTTTTTTTTTCTTTTTTAATTTGATCAAAACAAATCATTGAAGGATTAAGAAAAAAAAGTTTACAACAACTTGGCTTAACCTTGGCCAAAGGTTAAAATATTTCATTGTTTTATCCTTCTTAAGTATAAATTTATAACCAAAAAAAGTTAAAGCAAAAGTTAATTTTGTTTGGAATGCAAAAAGAAAAAAATTATTACTCAATTTGTTTGTTATCATTTAATTACTCTTCTTAAGTGTTTGGGTCCATTTCTTTTTTTACTGTTATGTGGACACCTACTAAGACATTCACATGATTCTGAGATGATAAATTTCATCAAATATTAATGATAATTAATCGATGAGTTTGAAACATTTTAAAAAAATTACAATTTCAAAAATTGAGTCTTATATATGGTAAATAAAAATGAAATATTGTACAAATATCATGAATTTGATTCATTAAAGTAGTGAACATCTTTTACCATAAATTAATAAGTTAAATGATGTAACATGACAACAAACTACATGTCTAATATACAATACATATAATATGACATTAAATAGTTTTTTTACGTTTCTTTCTGGACCATTTCATTTTAAATATTTAAAATCCTTACTTTTTTCTATACCAGATAACAAATTTTAATGTATATATTCTTAACTTGTTGGCATTACAAATGATAGAACATCAAATTCATAGGAAATTTTCTAAAATACTAAAATCAAAGTCCTTTTCCAAATTGATTTACGGTAAGTTAAATCGCAAGACTCAAAATGCATAGTTACTTTTTCTCTCGTGAAGAAGTTCAACGAGTGATTTTAAATTTATACTAGAAAAAGGTTCGTATAATGCTGCGAGGCTAATCAGCTTAAAATTAAAAAAAATTTAAAAATGTAAAATAGCTCAAGAACAGTGAGGGTTTAAGCTCTGAGGAACATAAATTCAAAAAGTCCAAAGTCAATCTTGAAATCAAGTCCCCATGTTTCAAACAATGAAACTATATCAGTGTTGATCAATTAGTTTATTTAGGGATAATTTTTAATATACATAGATTATATATGCATATTGTAATTTCTTTTCAGGAAATGTACATTGTAATATAAAAAATATCATTAAGTTTTGTTCCTTTCAACTCTTATATCATATCGTCTCAAAAAAAAATAAAAATTCTACCACTAGTTTTTCATATATATATATAAGAAATAACTAAAGGATATAAATTCATGTGATTGGTTAATTAGTTTGACGTTGACAAATTAGTGGTCCCAAAATTTACTGAAATTGAATTGCAATAATACAATTTGATTGAAGTCTATAGTTGTTCCTTATAGTATTCATTAAGAGAGAGTTAATCATATTCTAGGTGCAATAAAAATACCAAATGAACATAATCAAGCATCTTCGCAAGAAGTCGCCGATTTAATTTTCGGAATTTCAATTAATTTTTACAATTAAATTCTTTTTTGTTTGTATTTCTGCAAATGTTAATTAGGTTCATGTGAATGCCTTATTCAAGGACGTCCATTCTCATTTTAGTTTCCAAGGAATTGGAATTGCTACAGTCTCATTGCTGGGCCGCAATGCAGATCCCATCTGCCCATGTGGTCTTCAACAAGATATTTTATTTATGGATGGATTTCAATAAAATCTGTATGAAGCCTTGCCTTTTATTTTGTGATTAGGGAAATAACTTGATCATTCATACACAGTGGTTTTTCATGTTGCCTAAAACCATAACTCCAAGCCTTCCAAATTTGCACTAATCTAATTATATTATGGCAAATCAAACAGGCGAGTGCTGGTTGCAAGGATTTCCCATTCGATGGCTTGGCTATAATCTCTAACGGCTCTTGGTTTAAACAAGAGCAGAGTTATAGACTAAACTCTCAAATGATTGAGCCTAACCACTCGTATTCTTGATGCTTATTTGTCCAAGTTTGAATCTATAGCCTTAAAATTAAAATACTGATTGCCCCCTTTGAAATAATCTACTCACATGGAGTTTATAGTGGACGACATTTATTTAGCAAAGATAAATAAGAGAGTGATAGGATATTTCATCACAGTTTTGTCCAGTAACATATCACTTGAAAATAATGGAATTGCGCTAGTATAAGCCCCGGCAACATTCCCACAACCATTGCTCCACAGCCTAAACCTCCTCAAATGTTATGCTTAAACTCCCTTCCATTCTCTCCAGAATGCAAAAACCTTTCATCTTTTCTTCTGCAAATATTATTAACTATACCAATACTCCTCCCAAAACCCCACATTCCAATTACATCAATAATCCCTTTGATACTTTAGAATTATGCCAATCTACAAAACAGATTAAACAACTCCATGCTTCAACCATCAAAACGAGACCTCTCCAAACCCAACTCCTCTACGCCAAAATTTTATCATTTCTCAGCCCTCTTTCTTCCCCTGAGAGCCTTAATTATGCCAGGGAACTTGTCAGCCACTTAAAAGCTCCACATTTGCAAGTGCATTTTTATAATTCTATAATCCAAGCCCTCTCAAATTCCTCGGAAGCCATGGCGTTGTACAAAGAAATGATAACCAAGGGTATTTATCCTGACACTTACACTGTTCCTTATGTCCTCAAAGCATGTGCTAAATTCCATGCCCTGGAAGAAGGCCAACAAATCCACGCGCATTCCATAAAGTTTAATCTTAATTCAAATGTTTATGTTCTCAACACTCTCATGCGGCTTTATGCTGTTTGTGGGATCATTGATTATGTTCGAAACTTGTTCGATCAAAGTCCTGAGAGAGACTTGGTCTCTTGGACTACCCTTATTCAAGCTTTTGTTAAAATGGGTTTTGCCAAGGAAGCCATTCAGGCTTACTTTGATATGTGTAGAGAAAATTTAACACCCGACAAAATGACATTGGTCGTCGTCCTTTCCGCTTGTTCAAGGCTGGGAGAATTGAGTTTGGGGACCCAAATTCATGAAACTATATGCAACTTTCATGATGTTGGTTCGGATGTTTTTGTTGACAATGCATTGGTTGATATGTACATGAAGTGTGGCGATGTGGATTCAGCTCGTCAGTTGTTTGATTTAATGCCTGATAAAAATGTGGTTTCTTGGAATTCCATGATATCTGGTCTAGTTCAACAAGGACAATTTAAGGAAGCATTAGATGTCTTTCATGATATGCAAAAGATAGGTCTTAAGCCGGACAATGTTACTCTGGTTGCCGTTCTGAATGCTTGTGGTAATCTTGGGAAGCTCGAATTCGGAAAGTGGGTTCATGCATATGTTGATAAAAATCGAATCAAGGCAGATGGTTTTATAGGAAATGCATTGGTGGATATGTATGCTAAGTGTGGAAGCGTAGAACAAGCTTTTGGGGTGTTTCATTCCATGAAATGTAGAGATATTTTCTCTTATACAGCTATGATTGTTGGATTCGCAATGAATGGAGAAGCTGAGAGAGCGTTGGAAATCTTTGCGGAGATGCCTGTTGTGGGTGTCAAACCAGATGACGTGACGTTTGTTGGTGTCCTTTCTGCATGTAGTCATGCTGGGCTGGTGGAGGAGGGTTGGAAGCACTTTGAAGACATGTCAACAGTTTATAATCTGCAACCTCAAACAGAGCACTATGGTTGTATGGTTGATCTTTTGGGCCGTGCTGGACTAATAAGTGAGGCAGAAGAATTCATAGCAAATATGCCAATTGAGCCTGATGCATTTGTTTGGGGTGCATTACTAGGAGCTTGTAGCATTCATGGAAAAGTTGAGCTTGGGGAAAGTGTAATGAAAAAACTTGTTGCCATTGAACCTGTAAGAGATGGTGCATATATACTCATGTCAAACATCTATTCATCTGCAAATAGGTGGAAAGATGCGCTAAAGTTGAGAAAGGCAATGAAAGAAAGAAAACTAAAGAAGACTCCCGGTTGCAGTTTAATTGAAGTCAATGGTATTGTTCATGAGTTCCGGAAGGGTGACAAATCACACCCAAGAAATGAGGAGTTAAGAAAGTTGCTGGAAGAAATGGCAATTCACTTACAGAGCCCTGGCCAATTTTCAAATAGCAACTGTATCTCCTATTACAGCTTATGTAGATAATTGAGAATGATTTTGTGTGGGAAAATTAATGGAGGCCTTCAGGCATGTTGGCATATTTCCTTCGCTTTCTCACAAGGCTTTGTGTGTTCAAAACAAGAAGCGGGGTAAGAAAATTATGGTCAATATTCGCATAAATGCCTAGAAAATGTAAGTTTCTCAAATTATACCCTTAGTTGTGTTTTGGCTTAGGTAGAGGCTAGACCTTGTCTTAGACAGGGGTTAACACCAACCTGCTTTTGTACTCTTCTTAGGAGGATTAAGGATTGAGGTCTAAGTTTGGAATCCCTGTTCCCCTCTTGTACCTTCTTTACGTAACAGAAAACGAGGTCAAACCGATCTAGATGTGAAAGGAAAGGGGTCCAATTAATTACTCAAGTTCCTGAACCCTACAAAATCTAGCTGGCAACTCTACAGCATTCTGCATGGCATTGTTGTGCTCTGAGTATACTTTTCCAATATCAAACTGTTAGGAATCATTACCTAGAACGGTGATTGACGACCATGCTCATCAAGAGATCTCGACTGGCTTAATTAATTCCCTAAACCTTTGAAAGGATCAAATCTTTTGACCTATCAATCAGTTTGTGCCAATACATCCTTTTGGCACTGATTTGTCGAACTGAATGGTTTTCTTTTGGCCATTTTTGTACTATTGGTTAAAGACTTCATCTTTATAAAGTATGAGAAAATAAGTCAGTCGGATACATATGTCCAGATTTGATGTTATACCATCTGAAAGAATATCAGCATGAATAGAACCTATAAATGAGTATTTCACTGAATCTTGTAGAAAATTGATGATATAAGTTGCATTTGAAACTTTGCAAAGTAAAAGGATTGCAATATTCAGTAATAGTTCTGCTCCCCAAAAATTTATAATGAGACCTCAACTTGTGTGCATACATAAACGTTATATTTCTTTCAAGTCTAGAAGAGTTGATTTCTTAAATTTATAACGGTTTGAGATGGCCAAGATAGTAGTAATAAAAGTATAGTCTAAATTATTGCATTTCAACAAGCAACCATGTGACTTGCATCTGCCATTTGTAATAATAAACTTATTAATTAATCTATAACTGAAACAGAAATAGGCATGTACTCAGAAAGAAAATTATTGTTCTCATTCTTATGAGAAATGATACAAGAGCTGGCGCATACAAATGAGCAAGACTCTCCATTTTAAACCTCTTATTCTAAAACAGAATAGCAAGCCTAACACACTCGAATTATTGATGGTATGGAGAACTTGTCGTCATAACTCCAAGTAAAACTGGATCAAAATAAAAGCATCAGCTTAGTAGGTCTTTGGAGGTGGTGGTGATTTGTAAAGATATGGAGGAGAATAGTGGTCATGAGATGGAGGGGCAGGAGTCTCGGGATGTGATGGTGGTGGAGATTTGTAGGGGTTGGGAAGAGATGGTGGTGGGGACTCATTAACGTAATGAGGAGGTGGAGATTTGTAGGGGTTGGGATGTGATGGTGGTGGTGGGGACTCGTAGATGTAATGAGGAGGAGGTGCTTTGAGGGTTTGGGATGTGGTGCAGGGGACTCATAGATGTAATGAGGTGGTGGTGGGGACTTGTAGACGTAATGAGGAGGTGGTGAATGAACCGGCAGTGGGTGTGATGATGGTGGTGGAGATTTATAAATATAATGAGGTGGTGGTGACTTTGGATGAGGAGGCGGGTGTGATGGGAGTGGTGGAGACTTATAGACGTAATGAGGTGGTGGTGACTTGGGATGAGGAGGTGGAGATTTATAGTGAGGTAATGGAGCTGGGTATTTTACTGGAGGAGGTGGTGACTTATAATGGTATAGGGGTGGAGGATAATGTTCGGGGGTGGTGGAGACTTGTAATGATACGATGGTGGGTGCTGTGGGTTGCTCCGGAGGTGGTGGTGACTTGTAATGGCCGGGTGGGTGATGCTGGCGCTTGGGAGGTGGTGGTGATTCGTAGTGGCCTGGTGGATGATATGGGTGCTCTGGTGGTGGAGGAGATGCATACTCGTAAGGTGGGTATGCAGCTGACACAATGGTAGTTGCAAGGCAAAATGCCAAAACAAAAACCAGATGAGGCAAAAGCCCTGGTTGTGCGGGGCTTCCCATTTTCCAGCTACTTCCAACTCTACGACCAAGAAACTAGATCTAGGAACTAATGTTTTTCTGCATGAATTGTAAGGCTGTTGGTGGCCCTATTTATAGATTCATCTGGGATAGTTTATGCAAATATATAACTCTAGTTCAATGTCCATAACAGGCTGGATTAAATTATTGTTTCAATTCATTTAATTCAACTTGCAATTCGTGTTTCCCGGCTCCCACAAGGTTGCCCACGTTAGTCCGTGTTGCGCACCAGGAAAAAAGTCAAAACAGATGTGAAAAATTATTTGTATATCATATTAATACATTGTGTCCTTAAATCATCTTGACATCAATCAATTTGCAGAACAGGCAGATTGTTTGATGTATTCACCAAATGCAACCAATGAAGGTACTGTGTTTTAATATTGTTACTTTTATTTTTTTTCTTTTAATTCTTAAAACTTTATGAAAAATAATTATATGTGATTAAAATGTAGCATTAATTAGAATGTAATGGATCTTTCTTTCCTTTTTTTTATGAAGTTATGGGGATTTTAATTTGTTCGAAGAATTCACATCTATAACTTTTAACTCATGGAGGATGTTTTTCGTTTAGATCATTGTTCTATATACTAGCAATGGAGTTTTATACTTCACAAGAAAATTTTGAATGTTGTCACATATCTATTTAATTAATGTAAAAATTTATTAATTTTTTTAAATATATCATAATTTTAGGGATGTCAAGGGCCGACTCACCCACTCAATGTGTCTGGACTTGGGCATGATTTGTGGGCTTGAATTTGGCTCAGCTTAATCTAATTAATTTATTTATCAATAAATAATATACTTATTTAATTTAATTATAAATATATTTAATGTATTAAAATATTAATATAATATATATTAATAATAAAATAAAATGTAACATGATTGAGTTGAAAGAAGCTTGGGCTTGACTTTTAAAAAGATAGGCCCGATAGGCTTGGCCCAAGCCGTGGATACCTCTACCTAATGAAAAATGTGGCAAGTGGCAACCTTCGCTGACTGTTTGTGGGATTCAAAATATAATATAATTTTTTTAATTTATTTTTCATCCAAACAAACCTTTTTCCTTTCTAATTTCAATAATAAAAGGAAAATTATTAAATTTGCAATTGTAATTCGATTTTATTGAATTTTGTCACTTTTATTTTAATTGATTTTTGAACAAATGTTAATTATAAAAACAATTCCGTAAAATATGTCGTTTATGCAGTTTTAGATAAAACGAGGATAGAAGAGTCAATGAAATTGGTCAATGGCTACTCTGAAATTAACAATTTAAAGTTGATGGTTAATATATGAAAGGTTTTCCTTAACTAATTAAGTCTAATAGACAGAAACCAAAGAATGTTTGAAGAACAGGTTAAATTGTGGAAAAGGGAGGTTAGAGAGTGAGAAAAGTCTTCAAGAGCCAAGTCCTTAACTAGTCCAACTTCAACAACATGCAATCAATTGTCCACCCTTTAATTTTATAAGTTTTTGTAATAATAATAATAATAATAATAATAATAAATGAAAATTTATTTCAAATATTTATGACATGATTGGATTTCAAAGTTTAGCAACCAAAATTTATTTCAAAAATAATTAAAAGAAGTTTTTGAATAGATCAAATAACAATTTAACCAAAGTTTATACCAAATTTAATTAATTAGTTAATTTGGTTTTAAAATAATACTCATGTTTAAGTGGTTGGTATTGAAGAAATTTTCTCTAAAAGGTTGGTTTAAACTAAAAGTATCCATGAGCCAACTATAACTCATTAGATTTATAAGCTTGACTTCACTCAAGTTGGATTGTGGATATCATTTTTAAGGTTCGGGTTTTACTCGACTTAATTCATGAATATTATTATATAAAAATAATATATTTAATTAAAATTTAATTTTTAAATGTATTTATAAATATAAAAAATATTTTTAATACTTTAATAATAGATATAACTTAAATGACTAAGATGAACTTGAGTTTTGGATTTTAAGATGTTAGCTAGACTTAGCTCAACTTAAGCTATGGACACTTCAAGTTCAAAAAAGATAATCCAAAGTAATTCAAAGTGAAGATTTATGCATCATATGGATTGAAGCTTGAGTCTATATTGTTGGTGTATTTTCAAAATAAAAGATTATATAATATAAAGAAAAGCTATTTTAACTTAAAAATTACGTTACGTGAAGTGACATAGTGTAACTATTGAATTATACGTAGGTTTTTCATGTAAATAGTTATATCTTTTAGTAAAGTGACATATTGGAAAAAACACATTTGAATCCAAAAGTTATGAGACAATTGAAAAACACTATAGCTAGAAAGTTTAGATATAAAAAATTATCTTTTCATATTATAGCTCAAAGATTATATTTTATGAAATAAATCATTGTCCTTTTATAAAGTGATTATTGAAACAATACCTTTATCCAAAGATTGTGTTTTACAAAATATAAAAGTATCTTTAAAACAAAGAGGTGCTTTAATGAAAGGGTTATGTCTTTAAGAAGAGACACTTACATGCCTATATAAAGGACTTGTTGCCAACAATTTTGAAACACTAAAAACAAATAAGTTATTAGCAGAAAAATCAAGAGCAATACAAGTGTTATGTTCTAAAATTAAAAATAAACATTTGAGTTCTTATCATCTATCAAAAGAATCTAAATTCCTCATATCTACTTGCTACATAAAGTAGGCTTTAAGTTTAAACAACGTTGCAAGCCCTAGGGTGTATCTAGCGGTCCACTTTTGTAAAGTGCGAAAATAAAGTTAGACGTTAGCTTCATTATATCCCTAAGACTATTTGCATAATTCTTCTTTTGCATACTGAGTCGTGGTAGCAAAATAGGTCTTAAAGATAACGTCTATTGAAAGGTTACTTTGAAGTCAATTTTACCGGTTATTTGAATTCCATCTAAACCCCATCTGCACTAATAATTTTAAGACTTATTTTTTGTAGAATTGGAATTCAAAATGACTTCACTAAAAGAGATATACTAGCATTGTCAAGCTAAATAGCTTTGAAGGAGGAAACTTTATTCGTTGGAAAAAAATGGATCAATTTGATGGTGACAAGGAAAGTGACAAAATGGTTCCTCATCGAATTATAAGATAAGTTTTCTTTTCGTACTTGATATATATGATATTGTATTTGATATGCATCGAAAATGTATATGGATTGGAAAGAAGGACTTTGTTATATTCATATTAACATGAAAGATATGGGTGTGGTGGATATTATTCTTGTTATAAGAATAATCAGAGATAATAATGACCTAATATTGTCTCAATCTCATTACATTCAAAAGATTGTAATGAAGTATGGTAAGTTAGATTGTACATCAGTGTTTACGTTTTATGAATCTAATATAAGGTTAGTACCTAACAAAGAAAAGTCAATAACATAAAATAAATATGTAAGCTTGATTGGATGCTTAATGTAAGCAATGATATGTACAAGGCTGGATATTGCATATGTGGTTGGGATGCTAACTCCGTTTACAAGAAATCCCTGGAAAGTACATTGATATGTTGTTCATAGAGTTTTAAGGTACTTAAAAAATAAAATGAATAATGGCATTTGTTATTTAGGTTTTTCTTCTGTTTTAGAAAGGTATAAAGGTGCTAGTTAGAACTCAAATGGAATGGATTAGACCTTTGCAACAAGTTGGATTTTACAATTGGTAGGGGTGCTATTTCTTTAGGTTCTAAGAAACAATCTTGTCAAGCAGACTCCACCATGATGGCTGAATTTATAACCTTATCGTTTGCCACCCAAGAAGTGGAATGGTTATGGGACTTACTATATAAAATTTTGTTATGGTCTAAACCAATGGCATGAATTTTAATACATTGTGATAATAAAGCAACGATATCAAAAACGTATAATCAAGCATAAAATGAAAATAGTCAATATACTAGACTTTGACATATGTATCTTTGGGAGACAAAGAATTAGTGATGGTATAGTTACTATAACTTATGTGAGGTCATGTGAAAATTTATTGAATCTGTTTGTCAAAGGTCTAAAAATGGACTTGGTAATAATACCTCAAGAAGGATGGGCCTCAAAGTTGTCATCTAAATCTTCAATGGTGGGAGCTTATCTTGATGCTTGCGACTGACTTGCAAGTCTTGGATACTGACCATTCTACCATATGGTGATTTTCAGGATTAATTTATATTTCCATCCCGAGGTGTATAGTGTTTGGTTCCTGTAATGTGTAAGGTAAGGTTGAACAAAAGTTCTTAATAAACCAATAACATGTATATGTTGAAGTACTATAATTATAGGGTACTTCTGATAGGGGTTACCTATATGAATGGAAGTGTGGTTGCTTTTAGAAACTAAAGGTTTGACGCAAACTAGCATTCATGAATGGATGCAAAACACAAAGCCATAAAACGTGTTGGTAAAAATAGATACAAAGTGAGCAAGAAAGCTTGTGTGTGTTTAGTGGTCTGATTAGTCAAATAAAGAATTGATGGTTCAATACTTGGTCAACTACTCAATCAAACTGGAATCAACCACACTCACTAAGTGAAGGTTCAAATCTACGGGATACCTTCATTTATGCATAAGATTCCCAAAGGTATTTGAAAATTTTAAAAATGGTTGGTGATTGTTGGTGTATTTTCAAAATAAAAAGTTATGTCACATAATGAAAAGTTATCTTAACTCAAAGGTTATGTCACATAAAGTGACATAGTGTAACTATTGGATTATAGGTGGGTTTTTCATGTGAATAGTTATATCTCTTGATAAAGTGACTATTTGAAAAATATCTTTGAATCCAAAGGTTATGAGATAATTGAAAAACACCACAGTTGAAAAGTTTAGATATGAAAAGTTATCTTTTCATATTATAGCTCAAAGATCATGTTTTATAAAATGAATAGTTATCCTTTCATAAGATGATTATTGAAACAATACTTTTATCCAAGGATTGTGTCTTACAAAATGCAAAAGCATCTTTAAGACAAAGAGGTTTTTAAATGAAAGGGTTGTGTCCTTAAAAAGAGATGTTTGCAAGCCTATATAAAAGACTTGCTACCAACCATTTTGACACACCAAAAATAAATAAGATATTAGCAAAAAAATCAAAAGCAATACAAGTGTTATGTTTTGAAATTAAACATAAACACTTGAGTTCCCATCATCTATCAAAGGAATCCAAATTTCTTATAATTTACTTGCGATAGAAAGTAGGCTCTAAGGCTAAACAACTTTGCAAACCCTTAGGTGTATCTAGCGGTTTACTCTTATAAAGTGCAAAGACAAAGTTAGACATTGGCTACATTGTATTTCTAAGGCTATTTGCATAATTTTCCCTTTGTATACCAAGTGGTGGGGAAGAAATAAGTCTAAAGATAATGTTTATTGAAAAATTCTCATTGAAGTCAATTTTACTAGTTATTTAATTCTATCTAAACCTCATTTACACCAACACATATAACTTCTTTTATCTTGTTTTTAATTTAATTTTTTAATATAAAAGGGAGCACTCTAACTCATTTAAAATCTTTATCTTAATTTTACCTTACCTTTCTTAATTTTTTAAACAGAATTTGAATAAGCATTTTTTAGAGTTTTATTGAGCAACTAACGCATAATAATAAAAACCTTAGCTATGTGTAAATAGTCAAAGTAATCCATTATCAAGCTGAAAGCATTATTTTGACTATTTACATATAGCTAAGCATTTACCACCATGTGCTGGTAACACCTTTTCTAACTCTCTTGCCAAATTTAAAGTTGATAGAGTAATAATGCTTTTAGCTTGATAATGATTCGTTTCTCTTGCTACTCTGTAATCAGACCATGTTATCTAGTTTGTTTATTTTTATATTTTTATTCATGAACTTTTATTTTGCTATAGCTTTTTTATGTCTAGTAGCCTCTTTTCATATGCATCTCCTCAGGGATGATGCATTTTATTGTACCTCTTCAATGATTCTTAATAAAACTCACTTTAATTGAAGGAAAAAAGAGTGCCATATATAATGGAAGATTTGTTGAAAATTATATGACATACTCAAATCTTTAATACGAAATGTCATCTTTAACATGCGCATGGACATGAAGAATGTATAGATTCCAAGCAATGCATATTGATCGTATTATCTTTCTAAATATATATCTCTTTCTCATTTTAGCTTTCTCAAGCAATTAAATACCTTGGTGTGAGTAATCCAAATTCCAAGTAAGTAACTTGGATTACAGTCGAAATAAAAAAGGATAAAATACCCTAACCTCCTTAAGTTTTTGTTGAAATTTCAAACGGGTCCATTAGTTTTCGAAATGGACACTTTGCCTTAAAAATGCAAACATTGTTAACAGAGATTAAGAAAATATTAAAAAATCTTTTAGTTTTTATTAATTTAAAAAATTATTATTATATTTTAAAAAATTAAAAAAAAAGAAACACGTATTGATCAGTGCTCCCAAGGAAAGGGAGCACTGACCGGTGCACCCCAAAGGAGAGCAGCACCAGATCGATGCTCATAACAGAGGCCAGCACCGAGTGCTCCTTTGGGATTATCGATCGAGCTCCCTAGGGGAGCACTAAGTGCTGCCTTCGGAAGCCCTAAATTGGGCTCCTTAAGGGAACTCCGATGCTCCCCATCTTGGGAGGTTTTTTTTAATTAATAAAAAAATAAAATTATATAATAATAATTTTAAAAATTAATTAAGGGTAAAATTATCTTTTTATCATTGTCACGTCAACAAGTTGATGAAAATATTAACAGTTGACTAACGACTGAACTTACGTGTTTAGTAAAAAAAAAATTTTTTAGGCGGGATGTTCATTTCAAAAGCTAATGAACCGTCATATGATTTCGATCAAAACTTAAGGGGATAAGGGTATTTTACCCAATAAAAAAGCATCTACCATTAGGAAACAAAAATAAACATTATGAAATAAATAATATATTGTCTTTATTGCTCAAGTACAAGAAATGATACAACCATTGGCAGATTGACACATAAGAACAAAGTGCACAAACATCTATATTTTTAAATTCTTATTCTTTTCCAAGATTATAAGGCTACTTAACAAAGTGATAACAAATATCATCACGATAGAACGTGTTATCACCAATTTAAATGGTCTTAAGAGAAAGCATCAACTTAATAAGCCTTTGGAGGTGGTGGTGACTTGTAAAGATACTTTGAGTGTGGCGCTGAAGGAGTCTTAGGATGCGGGGGATGGGGTTTAGGATGAGGGGGATGAGAGGGATGAGGCTTAGGATGTGATGGTGGAGGTGGAGTTCTGTAAACATAAGGAGAAGGTGGTGAATGGACAGGTGGTGAAGGAGACTTGTATATGTAAGGAGGAGGTGGTGAATGTACTGGTGGTGGTGGAGACTTGTATACATAAGGAGGTGGTGGGGACTTGTAGACATAAGGAGGAAGAGGAGAGTGGACTGGTGGTGGATGGGACTTGTAAAGTAAGAGGAGTGGTGAATGTGTTGGTGGTTGGGGACTTGTATACATAAGAGGTGGGGGTGAGTGTTTTGGAGGTGGTGGGGATGTGTAAACATAAGAAGGAGGAGGGAGGAGAGAATGGACTGGTGGTGGTGGGACTTATATAGGTAAGAGGAGGTGTGAATGAACAGGTGGTGGAGGGACTTGTATATGTAAGGAAGAGGTGGTGAATGTACTGTGGGTGGTGGGGACTTGTATACATAAGGAGGTGGCGGTGTGTGTTTTGGAGGTGGTGGGGACTTGTAGACATAAGGAGGAGGAGGAGAGTGGACTGGTGGTGGAGGGGACTTGTATAGGTAAGGAGGTGGTGGGGGGACTTGTATACATAAGGAGGTGGTGGTGAGTGTTTTGGAAGTGGTGGGACTTATAGGCATAAGGAGGAGGAGGAGAATGGACTGGTGGGGAGGGGACTTGTATAGATAAGGAGGAGGTGGTGAATGTACTGGTGGTGGTGGGGACTCATAGACATAAGGAGGAGGAGGTGAGTGGATTGGTGGTGGAGGGACTTGTATTGGTAAGGAGGAGATGGTGAATGTACTGGTGGTGGTGGGACTTGTAGACATAAAGAGGTGATGGTGAGTGCTTTGGGGTGGTGGGGATTTGTACATATAAAGAGGAGGAGGAGAGTGTACTAGTGGTGGAGGGACTTGTATAGATAAGGGGGTGGTGGCTGGGACTTGTATGTATAAGGAGGTGGCGGTGGGGATTTGTATACATAAGGAGGAAGTGGTGAGTGAACAGGTGGTGGCGGAGATTTGTATACATATGGAGGTGGTGGAGGAGATGTGTGTTTTGGTGGTAGTGGGACTTGTATGCGTATGGAGGAGGTGGGGACTTGTGGTGATATTGTGGAGGTGGATATTTTATGGGAGGAGGTGGTGACTTGTATTGATAAGGTGGTGGAGGGGAATGCTTAAGACCTGGTGGTGACTTGTAGGGCTTGGTGGGTGGTATGGGTGCATTGGTGGTGGAGGGGATGCATACTTGTAAGTTGGGTCGGTGGCTGCCACAGTGGTGACTACGAGGCAAAATGCCAAGGCATAAGCCAACCCCGGCAGTCTGAGCGATTTCATTGCTAGCAGTTGAACTCTATCAACAGCAAATAGATGTGCGAACTATTGCTTTGTTGATTGATTGCTGAGATTCTTAGATTGTAGCCATCCCCATTTATAGTGCTCTCTTCAATCATTTATTGAATAAATGTTCTTATTTAATGAACCTAACAGGCTGGATATAATCTTTAAATATTGCCTCATGTTCGTTCATTTCATCTTTCCATTCGTGTTTGACCACTAGCTAGCCCATGTTAGTTTATGATTTATAATATGAAAAAGTCAGAGAAACGGTGATATATATATATATAAACATAAACTATGTACTTCGACCAGTCGTGACTTGGTTCCCTTGCATACCTCCGCATAAATTTTAGCAAGATCAAAAACTGATATACATGGTTAACTGTGTTGATCACAATGATCACGTTCAGTCGGCAATGCTATACACTTAATTATTTGTTTTAATTTTTTTTTAATTTTCAATATTTTCATTATTATACTCATTTGTTATTATTCCTAACGGGTCATTTTAACAGTTAAAATTTAAAACTAATTAAAACTTAAAAATCTTATATCTAAATTTTAGGCTGAGTAAAGTAAGATTATGAAGGATGGGAAAGAGAATTTTACTTATTAATTACATAACATAAAATAACAGTCTTCAGTCTTTTACTTACGTCTGCTTTCGCATGTCAAGATTTAAAGTGCCCAAAATTTTTTTAACTATTTTAAAGAATGAGATATACTACCAATTTATGTGATGATGTACATTTATTCTTAATCATAAGAATCCATCTAGAATTTAATTAGTTGCTATAGTTAGATTTTCTCCCTCGTGTGCATTGTGGTTGAATTAGCTAAGCAGATGGAACTTAATCAAATCTCTAAATCATGCTTTGATTACATGTTCCTTGTTTTCAAAAGCAACAACGTACAGCTATAGTTTGCTCCCTAAGAAAACCACAAAAGCTTGCATCGGATAAAATTATCCAAATAATATTTGGATCCTTCGAGTAACAGCAATATGTTCTTCAAGTTGTTCAAGAGATAGGCAGCAGATGATTAATTGAGATTTTAATTTGAAAGTTTTGAGTTTAGTTTTGAAGTGGAAGAAGGAGACCTTCCAGAATATCTATGTTCCAAACATAGGTTTTGAGTTATATTTCGGATATACCTAGCAAAATAATTAAAAGCTAATCAACTGCTTTCCTATATTATTGTTGCTGAATATTGGTGAACAAGTAGAGAAGTGGTCCATTCTCATTAAGGAAGAAGAAAACATCCCAAAAAATTAGAAAAAAAAAAAGGAAGAGGAATTATATATGAGGAAAGACTAATGAAGAGAGAAAATTACAATAGCCCATGCGCTCATAATATTTCAGGGGAAAAAAAAAGGTGAAGAAAGGAAACTCTAAGAAGACTCCAAATTCATGTGATTCGATGTACAGTGATCCCATTTTCTTTTCATATTTATATATATATATATATATATATGTATACACACAAAATTAAAATAATACATATCGATAAACCAAATTGTCAAACGTCATTTATGTATTCACGTTACACTCGATCAACAAGGAAAAGAAATGCAGAAATTAATATCAAAGGGCAAAACCCTATAATTTTTACAATATATAACATTCTAGAAAATAGAATAATTTGCTCTTAATTAGTAAGACAGAATCTAACATCTTTTAATTAGAATAATGAGGTTGACTTATTTAACATAATTTTAATTTGCTCTTAATCAATTAAAGACCGTCATTTTATTTATATTTCTTTGAATAATGAGTTTAACAAATCAGGTTTCAATTTTTTTATCATGTATTTTTAATTAAAAAGAGAAAAATAAAGCGGACCATGGACTTTCATTGGGGATCTCCCCACCAACGTTGCAATTTTGTTGTGCAGACGAGAAGCATGATAAAAGCTTCATACAATGCAAAAAGGATCGAGATCTGTTGCCGTACTATGAGAGAAGATAACTTTTTCTCCATTTTAGTCTTCAAGAATTTCTCAAAATCGACTATTGAGAAAAGTTTTAAGAAAATTTCTAATAAATCAAGTTAATATTTGAGTGTGTATATATATATATATGTATGTATATATGTAAAGATACATATATTCACATTTAACTTAAATGTTTGAGTAATCAATTAATATATATATATATGTATATTAATGTTTCACGTATATTAATGTTTCACAATGCACAACATTTTTATGAACATATCGTAAAACTCCCTTCACCACTAAGTATCATTAAATTTTTTTTTTCTGATTATATATATATATATATATATATATATATATATATATATATAAGAATAGATACATACATCCACATTTGAATGAAATTCCTAAATATTCTATTAAGATTTATTAGTATTTCACGATGAATTACATTTTTACAAACATATTACAAAACTCCCTTCACTATTATCTGGTACCATTAAGTCACTACAAAAGAACTTCCTTTTTTTTTTTTTATTACGGAATGAAGTTCGTTGGATGCCCGACGAAATAGTGATGGCCTTATTATCTAACCCTCTTCAACTATTTACTGACCAATTTTCGACGGATAAAATTTGGTGAGAAAGTTGTGAAAAAATACCAGAAGATGTCCTTTTACAATAGTCAACAAAAGTTTCAGATAAATTATTACCGGTATATGTATATATGATTATGATATTGTTGTAATTCTATGCATATTCTAATAGTGTAAGTAATGAAACTAGTTACTCAAAATTTAATCCAATGAAAAATGATATTTGAAAAGTATAAAAAAAATATTACAAGCTCTAAAACAAACTTAAAAGTTCAACTACGAAGTCTCAAATTTTAGTTCTTAAACGAAAAGCGATAAAAATTTATTGTAAAATAAAAAATCACTTCTTATTGTTTAATCTGAATTATATTAAAAAATTATATATCCGAAAAAAAGTTTTGTCAAGAGCGAAGTGAACTGATCCAATTTCGGGGTAATAACATTCAAGATGTCGATATTCTCAACACACACACACACACACACACACACACACACACACACACATATATATATATATATATTAATTCTTTTCTTTTTTTAGTTTCACTTATCTTCACAATAGTCTTTTATAAGGTATAGACCCATATGGATTGCCGATGCAAGATGAGCAGCCGAACCCTAAGCCATAGTTGTTGGGTCAGCTCTCTAAACAATTAAAATTGAAACAGAAAACACATGAACAATGCAACATACACGGCCTGTCTGGTCCAATCAGCTTTTAGTTTCTCTTGCCGTTGGTTCTAAGGTTTGGGTTGTCGTGCTTTGTCTTGTGGACGCAGCCTTCCTCGGTTTCTTCCATTTTGGATGGGCAAATCAACCTTCTATCTAAGCCCAAATGCCCCAAAAACACACCACGAATATAATTTTCAGTCCTCGTATCGTCGGCAATTGATATGATTTTATACTTTTCTTATTGATATACGAGTACCATTCCAAATGAATGCGAACAAGTTTGTTTTTTAAGTTATCATGTGTTTATTTTTGTTACATATAAATATGTCCTGCTATAAGGCTATACATTTGGATGTACTTAATCCTTCGTAGTCACATAAACCCTGTCTCTTTCATCCTAAGAATTAAATTCAAGACTTTCAAATTAAAATTTCTAAACCATTAATTAGATTAATGTCCCTTAGTGATAGGTGTTTTGTGTCTATTAATTAATTGACTAATAAAGAAAGAAGTAGGCACCAAAAGAAGTAGGATTTTAAAGTGGGTAGGCTAGTACAACTCTCTTGCCTTGATAACAAAATTATGTTTTCTTTTTAAATGCAATAAGATACTTAATTTATTTAAATAACTGTATAAAAACTACTATTTATGGTAGTAATAAAGCTAATTCATATGAGATATATTGTTATAACATAGAACTAGAAAATAAGAACATGACTTTGCATGTATTAATGCCACTGTCCTTCAAAGTTATATTCACCTCCACTGATAGTGTGCAAAAGGGTTGTAGGTGATAAATTTCAAGAATATAATAAAGTCCAACGATTGACTATGCTTCAAACTGATGAAATCATTTGACTAAGCATCCACTGATGTATGATAGTATTATCTAACTTCAATAAGATTTTTCTGCAACAAAATGATATAGGAGAAATCTAGAGGATATTGAAAAAGGAAAAAAAGATTGTTGTTTATTGTTTTCAGTGTATTCTTTTGTCCTAGCGGAAAGTCTATTTATAGGCTTAAGTGAGTGTTCTCAATAGACACAAATTGTGTTTGTTTCAAGCAGACACAACTGCTTGTTTCCAACAATAATAATTGCTGGCTTTCAACAAAGATGATTATTGATTTTAAATAGACGTAATAGTTTTTTTCTAATAGTCGAATTGTTGGCTGACGCTTTTGTTGGTTATTAAAAAATAAATTAAAAATTATTATTTAATTGCTTGCACCTGCACTAGCCTATGGCACATGCCCAAGTGTTAAGTGTCATTATAATATAATAATTAAATATTATTAATTTAATTAATTTCAAAATCAATCAAGGCCTAAAATGCCCATCCATGGTCTATCTTGCACTTCAGCCCACTTTAGTTCAATTATTATGTACTCTTTTTTATATCAAGAACTCCTATTTTTTTTTTTATCTTTCCAATGTGAGATTGTGTCCCACATTTATTATTGTTAAAAACGTCCAACAATCCTCCATCATTTTTAAAATAATCCAAAATTTTGATAATCTTGAAAATCGATTGCATAAATGAAGGTGTCTTCGTATTGATCCTTAACTTAATGAAAATATGTTAAAGTTAATTGAAATTGCATGGTAGACTATGCTTTAAACCAAGTATTTCGTTTGGTTAACCGAACACATATCGCAAAATAATTCCAACATCAATGAATGAACAGCATCTAATGACGCTTATATAGTCATGCACCAGCATCTTCTTTTCAAAGGTGCTATTAGAGTCAAGCTCTTGAGCTCTTAGAAATGGCTACGCTTCATACTCATCATTTATGTTGTGAGTCTATTAAGAGTATATAACTCATCATTTTCTTACCATTATGGATACTTAGCACTTTACTTGGGATGGAATATTATATATCTTATTATAGTGCTAACATCCACATACATATGGTGTATTTTGTCTCATTGAACTAAAGATTTGACCTTATACCAAACGTTAAATCAAGGTTC